AGGTGTACCGCCACCACAATCGCCTCCCCTTCTGGGACTACGCCAGCGCCGGTCACCGCTTTTGGGCCCTTCTTGAGCAGCTCTTTCCGCGGGCCGGTCAGCTGCGCGCCTTCTCTGTCCTCCTCCACCACTACCTGGCCCTCTTTCCGCCTGCCATTCTTCGCCTTCGAAATCGGTTGATGGACTTTGAGGAGGAGGAGTTGCTGGTCGGTAAAAGACAGGGCGTTTCTCCTCCCCGTCCAGTGCCGCCCAAGGCCGTTCTCTACACGCCCATCAAACCGTGGGCCTTCTACGAGGAGCTCCGTCGCCTGCCTAAAGAGGAGGACACGCTGAAGTACTTTCTGGAGGCAACGACCGACCCGCCCGCTGCCATCGCCTGCTTGAACTTTCTCTCCTCGTCGCTGTCCACTGACCTTGCCCGCCACCAGCTGAGCTCCAATCTGGTGCGGATGACCGCCCTCACCGCCCGCCACTCTGTGGACGCCCACGGCAGTCTGACGCTCTTTCTGCAGCTAGACCCGTCCACGGCGGACACCTACCTCGACGACGGCAGTTCGATTATGGCCTACGAGGCGGTGGGTGGGCTGTTGAGCAAGCGCCACCGAATCAAGGCCACTCTATTGCTTTCCCATGAGGTTACACTCGACCTGAGCAGCTGCTCTTTTGAGGAAGATGAAGAAGAGGATGGAGAGGATGATGACTACTCGTTGACCACTCTGCTGGACATTACCCTCACCCTGAAGTCGGCCTTCTGGCGACACAGTCAGCTGTACGAGTGGCTGTCCTCGGTGGAGCCGCGCTTTGCCGCCATGACCGCCCTCCTCAAGTACTGGGCCCACTGCAGTCAGCTGATTGGGGGCGGCAAGGGAGGCGTCCTCAAGACCGTCCACGACCTCGTCTCGCTGGTGATCTACGCCCTCCAGCAGACCACTCCACCGGTGTTTGAGAGCATTGAGAAGATGACCACCGGCCACGCCTACTCTCACTCTCACTCCACTGCCAATCGCCAGAGCACCGGTGAGCTGCTGGTCGCCTTCTTTCGCCTGTACGCCGCTTTTGACTTTCCCGGTCAGGTGATCCGCCCCTGGACAGGCGAGGCCTGCCCGCTGGCCGCCTACCCGAATGAGGCGACCGCCAACTCGATGGTGAACATTGAGGACTGGTACAGTCTGGTCGCCTACCAGACGGTGTCCTCCTCCAGCTACGCCCGATTTAGTGGGCTGATTCGCCGAGTTGAGAAGGTGATCAGGGCAGAGAACGCCGTTCTGGTGCTGGCCAATCCGCAGCTGATGGACCCGCAGCCGGTGGGCATGCTCGAGGTGCCGTTTTAAATTTTCTGCTGGTGTTGATGATTTTATATTTTATAATCTGTGTCTTGTTTTATACTTGTTCTAAATAGTCTCTCGCTGTTGAGCTGTTGTTGTTTCTCTCTGAATTAAAATCATGTTGCATGGCACGTGCCAACTGTTTCCCTCGTCCTTTTTCGTGCATTAGATGAAACATTAGAGCGAGTTAGAAAAAAGCGTTAAAGTTCAATGGCACCTCAGTTTATTATTGGCAATCAGTTAAATTAGCATCGTAGAGGGAGGAAAAGGAAGGGAGCGATCACAACGAGTAGTGTGCACTTTGCATAATTAAAACACGAGCCCAAAGGAGTTGAGTTGATGCTTTGTGTGTGGTGTGGTGTGTGTTTGCCTAATGAACAGCGCCTTCCCTCCCTCACTACCACTGTATTTGCATAGCATTTGAGACAATCGAAGCAGGCAGGCTCACTCATCAAAGAGCGGCCCGTACTTGGCCTCGTAGTGGCGGATGACGAGACCGTTCAACTTGAAGATGCGCTTGTAGTACTCCTCCTGGCGCACCTTGTACACATGATTGGCGGCCAGTACCAAGGCCGCCGTCAGGCCCATCTGCACGGCCATAAAGATGGCCACCTTCATCTGCAGCGAGGTAATCTCCGACACCGGGTCGACCATGTAGCTGCGGGCGGCAGGCAGGCCGGTGTTGTCCTTCGAGATGGAGACGCTCACCCCTCCACCGCCGCCGTCTTTGTTGCCACCACCACCTCCTTTATCATCATCACCATCAGCAGTTACTCCTCCACAATTGAAGACAGCTGTTGACAGCAGCAGGAGAAGCAGAAAAGCAGGTGACCAGTAGTGGACCAGTGTTGTTGTGGGCAGCAGCATCTTTCTTGAATGGCTGAAATCAATCAACGTTGTTCGTGAGATGAAGATGACCAGTGCAAACGAATCTGTTCTCAAAAAGTATAATGGCAGCAAATGAAATGACAGAAAACTAAACACACACAACAAATAGGAGCTCAAAAGTTCTAAAGTACAGCAACACAGTTTTATTTTTATTTTATGAGTAATTCTCTCTCAATTAGACAACCAATGAGTAAACTTCTGTACACAGTACATAGTAATGACAGTGAAAAAACCTTTGTATGTAATGTAATGTAATAGAAAACGATAATATAAAAACGTGCGACTTCAGACTTCCGAGGACTTGCTTACGGCTTAAGGAAAAGGAGGAAAAGTAGGGAAAGGGAAAGAGGAAAGGGGTATAAATCGAGGAGATTTAGTGGTAATGAGCATCACAGTAGTAATTCAACGATGGGCTGGTAAAGAAGGAGGAGGAGGAAAGTAACGATACTTTGATTCCCCATTTGTTCACACTATTTGACAGCCAGTGAAAGTCCTTCCTGACTGATCGAGTTGGCGTTCTCTCGCAGAGCAAAATCGTAGTAGTTGACAATCATGTTCTTCAAATCGTCTGTCATAAAGAAGACAAAAAGTTTGTTAACAATGACATTGGTAAAATCCCCATTCGCTGACTTACCAAATGAAAGAATCTTAATGTTTTTCACCTCTTCGTCACAATCAACCTCCTCCAAACTAAGCGCTAACCACAGTAAAGTTTTCAGCGTTTCAAATGAAATATTGCCCTTTTCCTGCACTGCAATGGCCTCGTAGCAGTTGCGCATTCGCTCCCAGAGATCATCCACTCTGTTGAATTAAAAAAATATTTAAAAACCAAAAACCCAAGACTAACCAATAAGCTCGACCTACCTCAAATCAGTAAAGCAGAGAACCATTTTCAGGTGAAGCAATCGAGTGCCCTCGTTCAGCTTCTCTACAGAGTACAAAAACTCCTTGACCGAATTGGAATCACAAATGCCAGGAACTAGGGAGAAAAAGAACAAAAAGTACATCAGTAAATCTGCGCATCTAAAAAACTTTCCCCTAAAACACTTACTATTCTCTGCATTCAGTACTTTGACCAGAAACTTGCTGTCCAGCGGCGTGTTTAGATCATATTTGTTCTAGAGGTAAATGGAAAGTTTTAGCTAAATGAAACCCAAACTCAAAACACTTAAAACGTACCAAATTCTGCTCAATCTCATCAATGTACTGGTGCAAGAATGAGGTGAAGAGCGTCTCATGTGACTTTGGCCGCGCTTGACTTGCTGCTTTGCCAGTTTTCACCTTTCCATTTGAGGTTGCACCTGAATCGCCATTTGGTTTGATTGTGCTGTGATTGTTACCACCATTCGTCGACTCGGTGGTGGTGCTCTGCTGCCGCATCTGGCGAATCTTGTCGCACAGCTTGAGAAACTTGACACAGGCAGATGAGCGGAAAAATCTGACAACAAAAAGTTAAAAAAATAATGAAATATTTCAAAATCACCAGTTCCTCTACAAAAACACTTACTTGTACTTGAGGTAGCGAGCATCGTCGAATGAGTAGAAGAGACAGGGCACCTGCAGCTCCTTGACCAGCACCTGGGTGACGTTTCTCGCGTACAGATCGGGGTCGGCCTTCTCCGCCTCGCTGGGGTAGTACACCGGCAGCTTCGTCACCTCAATGTCCGTCCGCCAGCGGGCCAGTGTCAGCCAGATGCTGGCCAGCGTGCTGGGGCCGTCCCAGGTCCAGCTGAGCGTGTCCGGGCCGCCGAACTGGTTGAAGCGAATCGCCACCGGAATGACTGGGTAGCCGAACTTGAAGGCGCCATTCTTGAACTGCAGCAGCACGCGGTGGTTGCTGCACGTGCCCTCGGGGAAGAAGACAATCTTCGAGTACTTGATCGCCTCCGCCACCTTCTTGAACACATCCTGGCGAGAGTTGGCAGAGTCGCGCTCCACCAGGACCGGGTCGGAGAGCTTGAAGATGTCTGCAAAAGATGGGGGGAAAATGTGTGATCAGTCGTGGAAACTTGAAAAAAGGTAAAAAGAGCCTACTTCCAAAGAGTGGAATATCAATAATGTCCGCCTTGGCCACTGAGGAGGGCGCATTGAAGGCGACACCGGCGAGGACGTCAAAGAGCGAGGTGTGCGGCGCAAAGATGTAGATCGGCGCGTCCTTCTCCTTCTCAATGTCGCCTTTCTGCACGATGGTCAGCTTGTAGAAGCCGCAGACGTAGAAGATGGTTCGCAGCAGAACGACTAGATGTGTCTTGCATATTTCCCTGTGCAGAATAAACAGAAAAGACAGTTTAGATAACACGAATTTAATTAGATGAGCACTCTAAAAAACTTACCGCCAGTAGTGAAATTTGTCCGGGTTCGCCGTCCGATCGACAAAGCTGAGGAGAAAGGCGTACAACCGCGCCAGTCCCGATGTGACAAAGAAGAGGAGTATGGTGAGGATGATTCGAATGGGAAAGAGAAANTAAAAAGACAGTTTAGATAACACGAATTTAATTAGATGAGCACTCTAAAAAACTTACCGCCAGTAGTGAAATTTGTCCGGGTTTGCCGTCCGATCGACAAAACTGAGGAGAAAGGCGTACAACCGCGCAAGTCCCGATGTGACAAAGAAGAGAAGAATGGTGAGGATGATTCGAATGGGAAAGAGAAAGACGGTGCCTAGTGCAATCTGCGTGAAAAGTGAAAAAATTTAATTAGCTTAAACAGTGAAAAATCTCTCTCCTTTTTTCCGTTCACTTACGGCAATGTACGAGTTTGGCTGCAAATCAATGCGATGAAAGAAGGGGTTGACGCACCGCTGCTGAACCATGATTGCCAGGTACTCTAGAAGGTGATGCATGTTCAGTTGTTAGTATCAATTGGTCAAAACAAATGAAGAGTGCTCAATTCAGCAGCTATTATGATGGTAGGCGACAAAAAGTAGGCACAAATCAGAGATGGTGGACACCGGCAAAGCAAGGCAATATCAAAGCGAAGCATCGCTGCAAATACCAGCGTGAGCAACAGGTGTTTGTGTAAATGTGTGAAAAGAGGGGACGAAGCTGCTGCCGTANAGTAGGCACAAATCAGAGATGGTGGACACCGGCAAAGCAAGGCAATATCAAAGCGAAGCATCGCTGCAAATACCAGCGTGAGCAACAGGTGTTTGTGTAAATGTGTGAAAAGAGGGGACGAAGCTGCTGCCGTACCAAGTGTAAAAGTGCGGTGTACGGCAAAGTGAGAGCTTAGTATGAGTGAGGACGAGGACGGGGATGCTCAGACCGACCGATTGTTGTCAGTAGCAGACAAACTGACACTGCAAACAGTGCTAATGGGGTAGGAAACACTACAGACAATAAACAAACAAGTTTATGATCAGAAGTGATCATCGAGTCAGTGAGTAATGTCCCTGCTGCCTTTGCTGAGAGCCGATCGATATTCAGCATCAGCTGTCAGCAGAGTTGTGGCCAGCTCAAAGTGCATGTAGAGTGCACGTGACGTACAAAGAGCAGCAGCAGCTGTCGTACAGTAGGCGACAGGTAGTAATTAGAAGGGAGCCGAAATCATCCGACAGCTTCAGCTTCTCCCACTCTAGACAATGGAAACTAAGAAGCAGTTTAAAGTAGTGGTACTGCGCTGACTGCGTCTTAGAGTGGGGTGAGATGGGCTGATGGTGGTGGCAATTAGCAGGCACACAGAGCAGGCAAGCCATTGAGTGAACTGTACACTGTCTTGTGTTGTTGGCCTGTCTGGAAGGAATCTCAATGAGAGGTTCAAGAGGGAACATCCCCGTGTGTGAAACAACAGCCGAGGCAGTGAACTTGACGCCTACTCGTCACTCGCTGCATGATAATACTGCGCTGGATTTTTCAGTGGACACATGTGGTGGCTCACGCCAACATTGCGCGTACACGAGAACGGCAAACAGTTCAAAAGTTGAAAAGTGGCTGAAAGTTGTCTGAAGTAGGAATGGAATTACATATTGCTCGTTGATGGTCGGGCTTTACACCAGCGGAAAGCCCCGTTTCAGTTTTTGTTAATCAGTGAAGGAAATTAAAAGCTCTGTGCAAGAGAGAAAAGAATAAAACAAAAATTAGTAACGATTGGTGAAAAGGGTAACAAACGGACTTACCTCAAAAGATCAAAATCCTGGTTTTTTTCTGAATCATAAAGCGAAACTCAGGTTCAAATTAGCAGAACAAAAAGACAGGTAAAAGCAGGTTCACCATGAAAACATTTGCTGTTTCAGATTGGCAAATGATCAAAAAACTCTCTGGATGATTTCCAGAGCCAATTAAATTGGCAATATTGCGAATGATCACTGTTTGCACACATGCACTTGTACATGTACTCAAAAGAGCAGCCACTACTACTGCTGCTGCTGCTGCTACAACTGAAACAATCTGTGATAAAATATCTTTTCATTGTCCAGCTAGTAGTAGTAGTAGTAGTAGTAGAGATTTTCATTTCCTTTGAAGCACAACGCCATAATTAATCGTGAGTAGTAGGGCAGATGTGCAGATGAGAGCAGTAGCAGCGAACGGAAAACAACAAATGAAAACAAACCAGATAGATAGTGTGATTCGGTGGAGCAAACGAGTAAAAATTAGCGATGAAGGTGCTTGTGGTGGTGGCGACGGTGATTAGGCGACGATGATGATGATGCTGACATTGATAGCGTTTGGCGGTGTCGGTGTTGGTGCTGTTGTTTTGGCTTGGATACGGAGAGCCGATGAAAACAACAACGATTTGGCACTCGTTTCAAGAAGATGGTGAGAAGAAGGGTGTTTTTATGTTGTAAGAGAAACTGTGTGGCTTCAATCTGAAAGTCGAGATGATGATCAATGATCACAGATGAGAATGAGAATGAGAGTGAACAAAAATGCAGGCGAGTTTGTCGCCGCAGGTGCAGCAGCAGCACCTC